GAGATGGCTCACTGGTTAAGAGCACTGGCTGCTCTTCCAGAGGACCTGGGTTCAATTCCCAGCACCCACATGGCAGCTCACAACTGTCTGTAAGTTCAGATCTCCAGGATCTGACACCTTCACACCAATGCATATAAAATAAAGTTAAAATAAATTAAAAAAAAAAAAAAAAAAAAAACAACCCCACAATACAGTCACAAAGTAATTAAGTTAATAAATAGAAAGCACTTTGAGCTGGGCATGGTGGCACACACCTTTGATCCTAGCCCTTGGAAGGCAGAGGCAGGTAGATCTCTGTGAGGCCAGCCAGGTCTACCGAGTGAGTTTCAGGGCAGCCAGAGCTACACAGTGAGACCCTGTTTCAAAGGAATCCTGGGCAACAGCCTCTCCCTGGTACATTAGCCTTAAACCATAAAGTTATGATATGCTATCTTCTGAAAGATGATTAAGAATTGTGTTTTGTCTTTAAATGAGAATTTAAAACTATACAGAGCTGAGCGGTGGTGGCACACAACTTTAATCTTAGCACTTGGAAAGCAGAGGCAGGTGGATCTCTGAGTTTGAGGTCAGTGGTTTAAAGAGCAAATTCCAGAACTGTCAGGACTATACAGAGAAACCCAGTCTTGAAAAATGATAAATAGGGGCTGGAAAGATGGCTTAGCAATTAAGAGCACTCACTGCTTTTCCAGAGGACCCGGGTTCAATTCCCAGCACCTACATGGCAGCTCACAACTGTCTGTATCTCCAGTTCCAGGGGACCCTCACACAGACATACACACAGGCAAAACACTAATACACATAAAATAAAGTCAATTATTAAAAAAAAAAAAAGGGGGGGAGCTGGAGAGATGGCTCAAAGGTTAAGAGCACTGGCTGTTCTTGCAGAGGTCCTGAGTTCAATTCCCAGCAACCACATGGTGGCTCACAACCAAATGTAATGAGATCTGACACCCTCTTCTGACATGCAGGCAGAACACTGTATACATAATAAATAAATCTTAAAAAAGAAAAGAAAAGAAAAGAAAAGAAAAGTAATAAATAAATTATAGGGGTTAGAGATCTGGTTCAGTGGTTAAGAGCACTTGTTCTTGCAGCCCACATGGTAGCTCAAAACTGACTGTAACTCCAGTCCTAGGAGGATCCAAGGCCCTCCTTAGACCTCCGAGGACACTAGACATACATGTGATATACATACATACTACGGCAAAACTTATGCATATTAAATAATAAAAATAAATAAATTATAGGCTGGTGGTATATAGCACAGTGATAGCATGCTTGCAACATGCACTAGACTCTGGAATCAATCCCCCACATTGAAAATAAAAAGTAGCCAGGTGTGATGGTGCATACTTTAATTCCAGCACTGGAAAGGTAGAAGAAGCAGGTGGATCTCTGAGTTCCAGGCCAGCATGGCTCTACAGCAGTGGTTCTCAACCTGTGGATCACGAACCCCCACAAGGGTCGCACATCAGATATTTACATTATGACTCCTAACAGCAGCAAAATTACAGTTATGAAGCAGTAACAAAATAATTTTATGGTTGGGGCTCACCACAACATGAGGAACTGGATTAGAAGTACTGCACAATTTAGTAATTAGTAATTACTGAAGCATTAGGAAGGTTGAGAACCACTGCTCTACACAGTGAGACTCTGTCTCAAAAAAAAAAAAAAAAGGATATACGTATACACACACACACACACACACACAAATACATTCCAAGATTTCTTATCATGCACAAATTATTGAAATGGTTGAATGTACCCAACTCTTCAACTAAGATTTTAAACAATCAAGGATAAGAATTGTTAAACTAGGGGCCGGAGAGATGGCTCAGACAGAAGAGCTCTGGATGCTCTTCCAAGGGTCCTGAGTTCGATTCCCAGCAACTACATGGTGGCTCACAACCATCTACAATGAGAACTGGTTCCCTCTACTGGCCCGCAGGCCATATATGCAGACAGAACACTGTATACATAATAAATAAATAAATCTTAAAAACAAACAACAAACCCCAAATTGTTAAATTAATTCAAAATAAAGGCTTCCTTCGCATATCCTCTCCCCAATTTCAAGAACTCTGAAAGCACATTGTCCATAATCAACTGAAAGAATGTTTAGACAAACAAACACAAGTCATTTTGAGAACCCTCAGAAAAAAAGTAAATTTAAAGTAAGGTCTCTCAAATACTCCAAGTAATAATGTCAAACAGAAAGCAATTAACTTGTAATTTCAGAAAAGAACTTTACATGATTTTCTTAGAAGACCAACAAAAGAAAAAATAAAGAATCTTGGGGCTGAAGAGATGGTTAAGAGCACTGGCTGCTCTTCAGAGCACCCAGGTTCAATTCCCAGCACCCACAGGGCAGCTCACAACTGTCCCTGACTCCAGTTCTAGGGGATCCAATGCCCTCTTCTGACCTCAGGAGGCCCTGCATGTACATGTACAATGTACTCAGACATACAATGCAGGCACAATACCCATACACATAAAATAAAAAAAAAAAATCCTAGAAGAACAGACAAAAACCTTCCTATTTAAAAGAAGGTATGAAAGTAATTGAAACCAACTCTCTGAAAGATAAGTTAATCTTGTGAATGTATTTTAAAGATCCATTCACAATTAGCATTCTATTTTATCTTTTGAATAGATAACAGCTACAACTCAATCACACCTTTCCAAAAACTAAAATTTGCTGTTGTTTCTGTTACACTTCTGGCTGTGTGGGGTTTTGTTTGTTTTGAGCAAACAAAAAGGTTGCTTTTTTTTTTTTTTAAAGGCACAACCACCTGGCATTCCACTTCTGAAGATGTTTTCACTTGAAAATTTTTCTTATTTCTTTATTTCACTTGCAAAATTGTTATTTTATAAATACCCAAACTTCATGGAATCTGAGGTGAAAAGGACCTGAAAAAACATGAGATCTCCAACAAACTACAAATTTCGGTCTCCTGAGAGCCAACACTCAGTATTTTATGAAATTTACAGAGGAAAGCGGATTATTACTAAACAAAAAACATGAACCACTACTAACTTCAGGTTTTCCGAGTAAGCAAGAAATACCAAAATTAAACTATTCAACACACAAGCCAACTTCGGAGCACAAAAGCAGCAAACAAAACTGGAACCACAGCACAATTTCAGTACTATTCGCCACTACCAAACAACAAAAACAAAAAACCGCACCCATTCTTATGTAAACTTCTGAAATAAACTTCCTGAGCCTCACCTTTGTTTTCACCTACCCTCTCCAAAGAGCCCAATTGAAAAAAGGGTCAGTTAACGTCCAATAGGGAAAAACAACCGAAATGTTATTTTATTTTATTGGTACTTCCCCAGGCTACAGCCATTTTAGATTCAGTTTTTTTTATTTTAATTTTATGGGCTGGGAGATTTAGCATGGAATAAAAAATGACTAGTTAAGCCATTTCAAGATCAATCAATCCTCTTTCCCAATGGGACGGAGTTTGGTAGCTAGCTGATAAGACAATCTGAGGGAAAAAGTCTCACTACCCCGGAGAAGCCAGACTCCGGGAGTGAAAGTTCCCTTTCCCCCAGATATCCCACATTTGACTTACACGACTTTTTCCTCGTTAAGTTTCTCTTAACTGGAAGACAGAAGCCTTCGACTCTTATTTTCAAGGACAGGGAAAGAAACGAGTAAACGAAGTCACTCAACCACCACTAAGCCGGAACTCTTGGAAAGGAGCCCGAGCCGCAGGTGAGCGTTTCCGACCCCGAAGTTGAAGTCGGAGCGCTCTGGAACTGCCGCGGCGACGCTAGTGTGCAAGGCTCCTCCCGCTGGGGGGAGGGGGACGTTCCAACGAGACCACTCCCAGTTCCTCTCGTCCACCCAAGGCGGACCTACACCCAACCACCTGTGCAAGACCTTCTTCCAACTAGTTTTCATAGACGGCCAGTCGGGCAGCCGGCAGGGCCGGTGCCGGGACGACTCGAGGTCCACTTCTGCTCGATGTCCAGAACTCGCACTCACCCGGCAGTGGCGGGGCTACGGTCCAGGACGAGTCGCGACGTCTAAGAACGCGTCCCCAGCTTCTCCGACCAGCAGAGGTGACTAGCCCACAACCATAACAAAGCTCTTCCCAAAATGGCTGCCCGGCCCACAAGGCCCAGGAGGGGGCAGAGCGGGCGGAGGAGGAGCGACAACCAGCCGGGCCCGCCCCCTGCCACTCCGGCCCGCCTCCCACACGCCCCCTGGCAAAGGCGCACGCGCAAGCGCAAGCCCATGCTCCGGTGACTGCACGGGCGCCCGCGGTTCGCTCTGTAAACGTTGGGCCGCTCCAACCAGCGGTTATTCCCTGCCCCGCCCCCGGCGCCCTGCAGCGCGATTCCGGGCTGGCCGGCTCTCCCTTCCGCAAAGCCTTTCGCCTTTCCTCGCGCCGTTCGTGAGGCAGGGACTAGCCGAATTCAGCAGTTCCCCTGAAAGCTCCCTGCCGGGACTCCGGCCTGGGAGCACGTGAATGTGGGTGGGTATATTTGTACTAGTTCTTCCCCGCCCGTTCTTTCTTCACCTTCTCACACCTCACTTGTAAGCCAGATTCTTCGCCAACTACCAGAATTAGCAAACCAGTTACGGAAGAGCGTGTTTTCCAACCCCTGCACACCTTTCGCTCCTCCTTTCACGTGGGCGCGTCGTTGAGACTCCAGCCCTCGGCGTGCCATAGATCCCAGCACTAGAAGCATGCGCAGTGGTGTCGTGCGCGCTACCCGCCGGGAGTTGTAGTTCTTGGGTATTGCAGGCGTCACGGAGCCACCCGGGCGCAGGTTGGAATTCTGGTCCAGCCGGTCTTTGCTAACAGACTACTAGCACTCCATTGGGTATTGCACGACAGGAAGAGTCAGCACAACCAGACCAGAGAAGGAAATAAATGTGAAAGCCTCGGCAGCCACCCGCGTCTCTCATTACTAGAAGCTAACTCTCCTGCAAGTTTTACTACCACAGTGGGCCCCTATGTAAGTGAACTCCTATTTGTTTTCAGCTTTTTGCACAAAGACCCAAGAACTCTCAGATTGTTTGGTACCTGTTTTTTGGGCGGCTGATGGCAGACGGGAGGCAGTTACACTAAATCACTAAGTCACACAGTGGATAAGTTTTAAAAAAATGATATGACTTCCTGGATGACCTCCAAGCCCAAAGCCCTAACGCCACACCTTAATTCATTGTGAATTTTGTTCCTAGCCTTCTGTATTCCTCAATGTAATTTCTAGGTAATAGTAAAGAGAATGGAGGCAAAACAGAATCGTCCCTCCACCTCTGCCCAATAAGTAGTAGGACTCAAATGCAAAAAAAAAAAAGGAAGATGTGTCCAGTCAACTCAAGCCTGTTGTATTTTGCAAAGTTAAGCGTTCTAGGCCAGCAGAGTAACATATCTAAGTGATATCTTGTCTTTAAAAAAAAAATGAAGTTCCGTAGATACGAATTCGGCCAAATAACGTCGGCCCAACTCCAAGTCTCCTCATATCTTCTTGCACTACCATTAATGGGATTGTTTCAGAAATTGTACTCTACGTTCCTGAACTGCTAGATATATTCTGCTGCTTACGAATCCTGGTATAGAGACTCGACATCAATTAGAATTAAATTTTAGACTAGCCCTCGGGGCCGCAGAGGTTGCTCAGTGGTTAAAGGCGCTTACTGCTTTTACAGAGAACCCCAGTTCAGCTCCCAGCACCTATACTGTAGGAGATTTGCAACTCTGGTCTTAGTGAGCACATACATTCAAATGCTCGAACACACACATATAAAAATAACATAAAATAACTGAGGGAGGGAAGCGACCCAAAACCGAAGGAGAGTCGGAACTTGCTAAAACACGTAGTTTCCTTGTCTGTTCCCACCCGGACTGATTTTTCTGGCCTCAGGAAGTCGGGGGTTGTGTGATTCCAGTCGCCGGAAGTGCTGTTTCTGGTTGGATTTGTTCAACTTTTCCGCCGCGTGATGGTGGCAAGTATGTATAAGGGCTGTATGTATTTGGGCAGGAGGTTGTGGGGGGCTCTCTAAGGTCTGGTAAATAAGATGTACTGTCAGCCCAGACATCTCAAGGATTCTTGTGTCTAAATTCCGCTCCTATCTCTAAAGTGTTGGCTTGAGGCGCTCAGTGTGGTTGTTGCATCGGCGACATATTTGATCGTTTTCACGTAGATTTGCGGATGGAGCGTGGGCTTTCTATCCTTAATCTCCACATCACCTGCCGTCTCTGGGCTTCAGCCTAACACTTTCTTTAAATATTCCCAGATTCAGCCGGGCGGTGGTGGCGCACGCCTTTAATCCCAGCACTTGGGAAGCAGAGCCAGGCGGATCTTTGTGAGTTCGAGGCCAGCCTGGGCTACCAAGTGAGTTCCAGGAGAGGCGCAAAGCTACACAGAGAAACCCTGTCTCGGAAAAATAAATAAATAAATGAATAAATAAAATAAATAAATATTCCCAGATTCGAAAACACGTGCTACAGTTGTTACCTTGTTCCAAAAGGTGTACAGTTAATATATGGAAAACGTGTAGTTAACTTGTCTGTTCACAACTAAGCTACTATATTTGTGGCTGCTATCATTATTATAAGTGTAAATTCCTAAGCTGCGAAGTAGACAATAACTAAAGAGGATAAACAGGTTAACGGGAATAAAAGGTCTGACTGTCAGGTTTGTTTGTTTATTTATTTGGTTTTGTTTTTTTTCGAGACAGGGTTTCTCTGTGTAGCTTTGGAGCCTGTCCTGGATCTCACTGTGTAGACCAGGCTGGACTCGAATTCACAAAGATTCAAAGATTCGCCTGGCTCTGCCTCCCAAGGCGTGCGCCACCACCGCCCAGCTTTTGACCGTCAGTTTTAAAGATGAGAAAACTAGCACCTAAGGAAGTGGTAGAGATGTATACTAAATCCAGATGTTCAGTTTCTGCACATTGCTCTTTTTGGACAGCCAAAACTAAGATAATCAGGAAAAAAAATTCTGATTTCCTTAATATGTTACTTTGAGAAAAAAAATTTTTAAGATTTATTTATTATGTGTACAGTGTTCTGTTTGCATGTATCCCTGAAGGCCAGAAGAGGGAGCCAAATCTCATTACAGATGGTTGTGAGCCACCATATGGGTGCTGGGAATTGAACTCAGGACCTCTGGAAGAACAGCTAGTGTTCCTAACCTCTGAGACATCTCTCCAGCCCCAAGAAAAAAAAATTTTTTTCAAAATAAATAATGTTCCATCAAAGAGATTCTCATGATTCTCATTTTACCTTTGTAAAATGAGGACAACTAAGTGATATGTTGTTTTCTGTATAGCACCTTTGCTTCAAATTCAGCTATCCCACTGAGCTGTAAAAATATATTAATCAGAACTGCATCTTCTGGAACAAGACTCTGAATAGAGACCAGTATGCTTCACTTCATCCGGACATTTTCTGGAGCCTCTTCAAAGGTTGGTTGAGCACTATTTTTCAATAACTGTCTGGCTGGGGCAGTAGCATATATATTCCTCATGTATTCCAGTGAGGGAGGAGAATAAGTAAAATATTTACTGTGTCAAGTAGTAACTGCTGTGGAGAACTATACATTAGGGAAGGAGAATGGGAAATATCAAGAATAGACAGGACCAGGAGAGATAGGCTCAGCCTTGCACATACTGCTGGGGCCTTAGTTTGATCCCAGCACCCATGTTGGGTGGCTCACAACCAGTTATTCCAGTTCTAAAAGACTTGAAGCTTCCTCTGAGGACACCCCCACATACAAGTCAGAATAAATTCTACTAGAAAATAATAGACAGGATTGTATAACATAAAAGGGTCAGAAATGAAAGAATGGCCATGTAGGTAGCTGAAGGGAAAGCATTCTAAATGGAGACAGAAGGAGTAAAGGCCAATATGACATCATTCTCAGCTTGTTTCCAAGACTCTTTTTTTTTTTTTTTTTTTTTTTTTCTCGGTTTTTTGAGACAGGGTTTCTCTGTGTAGCTTTGCACCTTTCCTGGGACTCACTTGGTAGCCCAGGCTGGCCTCGAACTCACAGAGATCCGCCTGGCTCTGCCTCCCGAGTGCTGGGATTAAAGGCGTGCGCCACCACCACCCGGCTTTGTTTCCAAGACTCTTAAATAGCTGTTTCTCTTTTGTGTGTATAATTGTGTTGCCTATATGTATGTGTACGTACCACTGCATGCAGTGCATGTGGAAGTTAAAAGAGGGTGTCAGATCTCTTTGGAACTAGAATTAGAGCTGGTTGTGTGCCACCATGTGTGTATGTGGGGTGGGGGTGGGGGAAGATCAAGCCTGGGTCCTCTAGAAGAACAGTCAATACTCTTAATCAATGAGCCATCTCTCCAACCCCAAAATTATTATATGTATATGGGGTTTTGCCTTCATGTATATCTGTGTACCACATGTTCTAATTTTGAGTTTTATCTCCTGGTTCTATCTCCTTTATAGATGCTGAAGTACCCTTTTACAGTGAAACTCAGAACCAGCAGAATAGATATACTTTCTCCTAAGACATCTCCTCAGCAGAACCTTTTCCCTTTGCCTCCAAGGACTTGGCTTTCCCCATCATTTCAAGTGTGTATGAAGAAGATACAATGCTATCATGCATCACCATGCAACTTTAAAAGACGACAGAAGGAAGCAGTCCTTCCCTCCAGGACACCAAGCACCATCACTTACTTACCTGATAGCCCAAAGCCAGCATTATATATAAGTCTTGCGGGGCTAATCCCCTTTATTGCTCCACCCCTCACCATGGTCATAACAAAGTCTTATATCCCCATACTAGCTCTTACTCAGATGGCTTATGGAGCCAGTTTCCTAGCTTTCTTGGGAGGGGTCAGATGGGGCTTTGCTCTGCCAGAAAGTAGTCCAGCCAAACCAGACTACATTAATTTAGCTAGTAGTATGAGTCCGGTTGTATTTTCATGGCTAGCCATCCTCTTTTCTGAAAGACTCAGTGAAGCCATAGTCATGGTAGTAATAGGTTTAGGGATAGCATTACACAATGAACTTTTCCTTTTGCCGCATTATCCCAACTGGTTCAAAGCCTTGAGGACAGTAAGTACTGTAGTGGCTTTTTGCTCATTTGTAGTCACTTTAATACTTAAAAGCATTTATCCAGAAAAAGGGACCAAGAAATTTGGTTAAGTAGAAATATAAAACGGCTTTGCTGTGGAATAGCCCTTATGTACACTGTGAAGATGTGTTGCTCTCATTGTTAATAAAGAGCTGATTAGCCAATGGCTAGGCAGGATTTTCAGGACAGAGAGAATGCTGGGGAGAAGGGTGGAGTTAGAGGAGACACCAAGAGACTCAGAGCCAGCAGGAAAGTAAATACATGAGGTAAATGAGCCTCAGGGCAGCATATAGATTAATAGAAATGGTTAGTTTAAGTTCTAAGAACTAGCTAAAAACATGCTTAAGCTATCAGCCGAGCATTTATAATTAATATTAAGTCTCTGTGTGGTTATTTGGGGAGTGGCTGGTGGGACTGAAAAGTAACTAAACTACTTTACTGATATTGCTACTTTGCTGTAAGTCTTGTAAACCTGCATTTTTTTTCAAGATTAAAAAAAAATTTTCTTTTAAAGTTATGTCATGGGGATATGTGCACAGAATACAGTGCCCATAGAGGCCAGAAGAGGGTATTGGATTCCCTGGAGCTGGAGTAACAAGCAGTTCTGAGCCACTCAAGTGTCTGGGCTGGGAACTAAACTTGGGTCCATAACAATACATGGTCTTGACCACTGAGCCCTCTACCTCTTGCTTGTAAAGTTGCATTTTAGCATCACACTTGGGTTCCTTGTTTGGCTCTTTTTTCCTCCAACTCTTGGGAATTTATTCTTCAGAAACAGATTTTTTTTTCATTTCTAAAAATTATTCCGTTTAGCCAAAAGATGTTGGCCCATGTGTTTAATCCCAGCACTCAGGAGGCAAAAGCGGGTGTATCTCTGAATTCAAAGCCAGCTTGGTCTATAGAGTGAGTTCCAGAGCTACACAGAGAAACCCTGTCTCGTGTCCCCCACCCACCCCACAAAAAAAAATTATTGTTTGTTTGTCTCACTATGTAGCCCTGGCTGTCCTGGAACTCACAGAGATCTGCTTGCCTCTGTCTCCCAAGTGCTGGGATGTGGCTGCTGGCTCCAAAGTGTAGCACCTAGCCCTGATCCTTCCTTTGTTTAACCATGCCTTTTGTTTCTCTTATGGCCCTATGAATCTTGTCTGAGAGTCAAGGATCAGAGAGTCTCCCAAGGATCAAAGGCCTATGCAAAACTTGGTTCAGGAAACCAGAAAACCGTGGTATCTGAGAAATCAAGTAATTTGCACTTGGCATTTTATCTCTGGGAGTTCCTTTTAGGTTGCTTTGAAGGTATAGAAATTAACTGGCAAAACTGTAAATAGAGAGTACATAAAACTGCCCTAGGTGAAGGGATAGTGTTACAGTCCTTTGAGGTTGGAATCCCTGCAGCTGCATAAGGCTAACTTTATTCTTAAGATGCCTTTGAGTCTTCTTTCCCCTCCCCCATCCGCATGAACCCACATAATCTTGCTGCAACTACAGAGACACAGATTCTTAAATACTACTTGTAAGTAATTCATCTTGAAAAATCTAACCCTTTATTGTGTGATATGAGGTTAGTTTTCATCATCGTTTTGTGAATTGTTAAGTCATCTACTTAAACATTTCAGTGTTTTGATTATATTGAGAACAATAAAGACAAGATGAAAATCTATTGGTCTAGTAAGCATGAAGTCACATTTCATGAAAAGAATACTCCTACTTCATTAGGAAGTCCATGACACCTTGAAAAAAATGTATTTTTGTCAATTTGAATAGCACTTGCCATTGGAAAGTGCATTTTTTTTTTTTTTTTAAATAAGAGATAGGGTCTCCCCAGGCAGTGGTGGCACACGCCTTTAATTCCAGGACTCGGGAAGCAGAGTCAGGCAGATCTCTGAGTTCGAGGTCAGCGTGGGCTACAGAGTGAGTTCCAGGAAAGGCACAAAGCTGCACAGAGAAACCCTGTCTCAAGAAGGAAAAAAAAAGAGATAGAGATGGGGTCTCAGAATGTAGCTCTAGCTTCAGTATGCAGCTCTGACTGTCCTGGCACTCTATATATAAGGTCAAGATGGTCTCAAATATATAGAGATCTGCCTGCCTCTGCCTCCCAAGTGCTGGGATTAAAGGCATGTACCTGGCTTATCTAAGCTTATTTTCCCTGACATAACTTAGTTTTATGAACTGAAATGATCTGTGGCTGTAAAGGTGGTAGACAGCAGTGTCATATCATAACAAAAGACACTTTAACAAAAGCCAGACAAATTTCTTAGCTTTGGTTTTTTTGGTGTTTTCTGACCAGACTTAGCCTACCGAGGCTTTTACTATAATAGCTTAGTGATTAAGAGCATCATACTCAATTGCCAGCATCCACATTCTGCGATCAGTTATAACTCCAGTTCCAGGGGTTTGAATGTGGTCTCCTTGTGCACAAGGAACATGTGTGATACACAGACACACATGCAGGCAAAACACCCATACACATAAAAGTAAATTCTTAAAAAAAAATTAAAGCCGGAAGCCAGGTGGCGGTGGCACATACCTTTGATCCTAGCACTGTGGGGGTGGGGGCAGAGCCAGACAGATATCTGTGAGTTCGAGGCCAGCCTGGTTTACAGAGCAAGATCCAGGACAGGCACCAAAACTATAAACAGAGGAACCCTGTCTCAAAAAACAAAACAAAAAAATTAAAGCCAGATGGTGGTAGAGCATGCCGTTAATTGCAGCATTCGAGAGGGAGACAGCTCTCTCTGTTTGAGGACAACCTAGCCTACATAGTGAGTTCCAGGACAGCCAGAACTGTACAGAGAAACCCTGTCTGAAAAATCAAAAATAAGTAAATAAATTGTAAAATATGGTTGGGTGGTGGTTGCATACACCTTTACTCCTGGCACTTGGGAGGCAGGTATATCTCTTTAGTTTGAGGCCAGCCTGATCTATAGATCTAGTTCCAGGACGGCCAGGGCTATACATAGAAACTCTGTCTACAAAAACAAAACAAAATCCAGGCATAGTGGATTACACCCTTAATCCAGAAGCAGGCGGATCTACTTAGCAAGTTCCAGGACAGCCAGTGCTACATAGAGGGGGCCCAAATAAAATAATGGCAAAAGTATTGCTTTGATTTGTTTGTTTGATTTGATTTTCCCTCCTTCCATAGCACTACGGATTGAACCTAGTGCTTCATAAATGGTATGAAAGCACTGCTGCTGAGCAGTACATCCCCAGCCTAGCATCTTGATTTTGAACTGAAAACCTGGTATGGGGGCTAGGAATGTAGCTTGGGGGATATGGTGATATTTTATATGTGCTGAAATGTGATTTTATTTGTATGTTAATAAAGTTGCCTGGGGGTTAGAGCTAATAACAAGCCATTTAGCAGAAGTCTGGCAGTGGTAGCACACGTCCTTAATCTGATCACATGGCAGGCAAAGTCTGTGTGTTCAAGGAAATGGCCAGCTTGGTGACACAAGCCTTTAATCCAAGTACCAACCATAGAGACCTGGAGGTCTGTATAGACAGGCAGTGACAAAGAAGTCATGTGGTTGGGTTTAGAACCAATGAGAAGGCAGAACAAAGTCAATAAAAATACAGACACACAGGAAGTAGGTCTCTTTCGGAGGGTAAGGACAGCAGCATCTGGTAAGCTAAAGGCTATTCGCTAGTGCTCTGACCTCTTGGGCTTTTAACTCTTTATTTGGCTCTGGGTTTCTTATTTAATAAGACTGTTTAGAATTACATCAACAGGTGGATAGAATACTTGTCATGCACAAAGCCCTCAGTTTGGTTCCTAGTACCCCACAGACTGGCACGTGGGAAGTCAGTGCAGGATGATCAGAAAAGAAACTTACAGGAGATATGAATAAATCAGGAAATTATGTCACTTTGAATGTTTTATCTTCAATGATACAAGTACGCAAATAATAGTTACAAATTTTAGGAGCAAAGTATATAATAATACACACACACACACACACACACACACACACACACACGTTTTCTATTCTAGTAATTTCTGCTATGAAGATCTGTCACATAGTAGTGACTGCTTTTCAGATCTGTTTTTAATATTACTCTACAATGTTTTCCTTCCAGATAATGATTAAGAAGCCAGATTTAAAAAAAAAAAAAAATGTTCCACGTATCACAACAGTGATAACAGAACTTTGCTGTTTTCTGGGGTTTTTTGGTTGTTTGGTTGGTTGGGTTTTTTTTTGGTTTTTCGAGACAGGGTTTCTCTGTGCAGTTTTGTGCCTTTCCTCGAACTCACTTTGTAGACCAGGCTGGCCTCAAACTCACAAAGATCCACCTGCCTCTGCCTCCCAAGTGCTGGGATTAATATTTCTACATTTTATTCAGGTGAATGTAGAACCAAGAAAAGCCACTGTTGCTACTGATGCTACAGGTTATATATAGATGTATATACATATATACACATTTGGATTTTTGAAAACTTGAGTTCTGTGTCAATTTTGAAAAGGGTATGCCAGTTTTATGTGGTGAGTTGGCATAGTACATTAATAATCATACTGGTGTATAAGTATTAAATTTCCACCCTTTGTTCAAAGTTAACATGCTGTATTAAGATCTATTCTATGTGGGTTTGATTATAGGCACTAAGATAGTCTCCAGATAAGGAACAAAGGAAGAAATGTATCAAAACAGTAACTTATGCATCTGTTAGGAATTAAGCTTTGGCACCCCTAACCCTTAGTAAGTCATCCTGTGACTTTCAGAAAGGGGGCCTTTACATAATTAAGGTTTATATTGTGATGTGATAGACTTTCACATGATATAATTAGTATTTTTGTAAAGGGAATATTTCGGCCAGGTGGTAGTGGTGCACACCTTTAACTCTGGCGATCAGGGGCCGAGGCAGGCGATCACTGAGTTCAAGGCCAGCCTGGTCTACAACATGAGTTCTAGGACAGTTAAGGCTGTTACACAGAGAAAACTTGTGTTGGAAAAACCAAAAAAGAAAAAAGGAAAAAAAATATTTGGGATCATGGAGAATGAATACCATATAAGTATGTTAATGATCACCTACCAGACCAGATCAGTAGCATGAAACAGGTCATTCTCTCATAGCTCTCCAGAGGAAGTAACTACCAATACTGATTTCATACTTATAGCCTCCAGAGGAGTCAACATACTGCTTGCTCCCTACCCCCACTGCCAGTTTTCATGTGTGTGTGGTGTGCATGTGGATGCATGTATATGGAGGCCCAAGGTAAATGTCAGGAATCATTCTTGAACACTCTTCCATCTCAATCATTGATGCAGGGTTTTTCAATCAACCCAGAACTGGCTGATATGGATAGTCTCGATAGCCAGCTTTCTCTGGAGATACTACCTTAACCTTTCTGAGGCTGGAATTAGATGCAGGCCACCATATCTAACCAGCATTTAAGTGAGTCTCTGGAGATTTGAACTCTGGTCCTCACAAGTAAGCAACAAGCCCTTTGCTTAAATTTCTTTAGCATATTGTTAATAGCAAACTAATACATCATCACACCAGACCCATTCTTTTTTTTTTTTTTTTTTTTTTTGGTTTTTCGAGACAGGGTTTCTCTGTGTAGCCTTGCGCCTTTCCTGAAACTCACACTGTAGCCCGGGTTGGCCTCGAACTCACAGAGATCCGCCTGGCTCTGCCTCCCGAGTGCTGGGATTAAAGGCGTGCGCCACCACCGCCCGGCCCAGACCCATTCTTATTACTAAAGTGCTCATCAGGTAATGTAACAGTTTGAAATGACTACAGAATTTTTAATATACAGAATAGTATTGGCTGGTATGGAAAATTCGTCCTTTCAGAGCTTCTTCAGATTCTATTAAACTATTTTGATGAGGAAGTGCTTCTTTGCTTCTGAGTGGCTTCAATTTTTTTCCCTAATCTCAAATGTGTTGTCTTCCAGAGAAGCTAGTCATACTTTCAGGCTGATTACCCAATTTCACTTTCAAAACACTAATTTGTAGGTTAATTTTACCTACAGTGAATGGAGGCAGAGGCAGGTGGATCTCTGTGAGTTCCAGGACAGGCTCCAAAGCTACATAGAGAAACCTTGTCTCAAAAAACCAAAAAAAAAAAAAAAAAAAAAAGTTACCGCTGGGCATGGTGGTGTACACCTTTAATTTCAGCAGTTGGGGAGGCAGAGATAAGTTTATTGATAGGTTTGTGATTAGTCTGATCTACATAGAGAGTTCCAAGCCATCTACATAGTGAGATTCTGTTTACAAAAAAAAAAAAAAAAAAGGTTACTTTTTTTTTGAGACAAGACCACAATACATAGCTGCTTCTGGCCTGGACCTTGCTATGTAGACCAGGCTAGTCTCAAATTTATGGTGATTTTCCTTCCTCTGACTAAGTACTAAGATTAAAGGTGTGAGAGACACCACACCTGGCTAAAAACTGATTCTCAAGTACATTATACATGGTCTTTAAAAGAAAAAAAATAATTTTTTTTGAGGTGCTAGGGATTAAATGCAGCATTTCATGCATACTATGCAGGTGATCTTACCTCTGAGCTCTCTATCTCCAGATTGTAATTCTGTCCCCCAACTCTAGTATTTTATGCAGTCTCAAACTCCTGTCCTCAGTCTCCTCCAGTAGCTGGGACTTACAGGGATCTGCCACCACATAAAAGGGACAGTATTTAGAAACATACTGAGACTGCCAAA